GGAAGCTTCACCACAATGGTAGGAAGACATTTAATCAAGCGAATTAACTGAGAAAAACTGCCTTCTGACTCCTGCAACCACTTCACTCAAACCCCTCCACCACAGTAAGGTGGCAGCCCAGGGAGGGGAAACTTACCCTAAAGGTGTTTTTGTATTGATTCCAATTCATCTGACATTCATGGAGATCTTTTTATATTAAGAGCTAGTGTGTCTGCACACAAATCAGCCATTTCCATAAACTGCTACATAGTTCCTCTTAATCTGACCTCATATATATATTTAAGCTTTGCTCAGTCAGCTATAATCATATACAGTGTACATGTCTGATTTTTGTGTGTCCGTGGTATAATAGATGTGCTGTTTTGCTTTAAACGTGTCTGTTAAATGTTCCACAGCATGATGCAGGTCACTCCTCTCAGGTCACTGAGGAGGCTGTTCCCTCCAAACACACAGATATGATGCAGTAACAGAAGGTAAAAGCAGTGTCTGTTTCTCCTGTTTGGGTTAAACATGAGGTGACCACTGTAGAAGGATTAAAGAGGGGAGGACTGACCCATCTGTGGGTGGGTGTGGAGCAGATCTGTCTTCTGACCCCAGAGTTCAGAGACAAAAGGGACTAACATTATTAAAGCTTCAGACACTGATACTATAAAACTCTGTGTAGTCTGAGAAACTAACAATGCCACATAAGTCTGTTTTTTCTTCATATGTTTCAGTATACGACTCATGAGATAAGCAAAGAGAATGGAGACGTCCTACCCTTTGTCCTCTGTGACACCATGGGTTTGGAGTCTAGAAACAAAAAAGAAACATCTGTGAGTGACATCATGCTGGCCCTCAAAGGGCACATGAAGGAAAATTACGAGGTAACATCGATCTCTAAATAAATCAGCTAACACTGACATGTTAAAACATATCTAATAGAGAAAATACTTCTTTGTTAAATGTATCTCTTTGGTTTTTAGTTTAATCCGTCATCACTGCTGTCAGAAGATAATCCATTCTACAACCCTAACTGTCAGGGTTAAAACTAAAACATTATTAAAAACACAATGCAGGAGAAAACAGACTCAGAGACGTTACT